CTGCCTACCTGCCTACCTGCCTACCCACCCACCTACCTATCTACCCATCCACCCACCAACCCACCAACCCACCCACCCACCCACCCACCCACCCACCCACCGACCGACCTACCTACAAACGTACGTACGTACGTACGTACATACTTACATATGGAGACCTTCTTCTGTAGCTCATGGACTTAACAAGTGGCATAGAAAGCCTGGAGCTCTTTTTGTCCGGGGTTCAGATGCCAGCCTAGGACTCCGGTTCCGAGATATCTGCTGCCGCTCCGGAACGGTGAGCTCGATGCCGAAGGTGCGGATCGAAGGTGCTAACAGTGATTAACACATGTCCAGTAGCTCACCGCCTCAGCCGTGATTGTAAGTGGATCTCAGGACAGCAGGTGCAGTAGTACAGTTGTACAGATGTGCCAACAGTGGCAAAGGTCATGCAGTTTGGCTTGGCCATAGTCCTTGGATCCAGGTGTCCTGGCAGAGAGCCTGCAGAAGGAGGGTGGCGTCCAGGAGAGATGTCGATGTCGGGTTGCCAGTCGAAATGGGCTTTGTAGGAAGTTGCAGGGTTTTCGTTCTCGATGTCAGATCAGTCGCAACTGAAGTGTCAAGTGCTTGGCATTACAGGAAGACTGTTGATATGCCCGAAGCCCTGTGATCTTTGCATGGTCGGCGGTTCCCTTATGCTTACCATGAAGCCATAAATTCTGACAGAGCCAGCAACCGGCATTCAACAAGAGTATGTAAACCGTAGAGCCCTTAAAAGGGCCCTGAGCAATTCCCGAGACCCTGATCAAACCCTCAAGCCGCAAAGCCCGAAAGTCGTGAAGCTGGTCCCCGCAACCCTACACCCCAAGCCCTGAAACCCTCGTAGGCGATCAAATCAGACGGACTTGACAAGTGCAGAATCGAACTCGGCGAGGTGGTGGTGTGGGATGTATGGTCTTTGGTCCCACTCAGCACGAAATATTAGCTGGTGAAGGGATCGACAACAACCATCGAGGGCAAGACATGGAGATCGGCATGGGGCATCGAGAGGTTCATGCCTGAGTGAGGCTTAACTTGCAGCATTCTGCAAAAGCAGATTCCTGATGTTAGTACCTAGCGGACGGAAAAAGGCGCTCAACAACAAAAACTCTCAACCCTAAACCGTGCGAACTTCGGAGTCCAACCAGGACTTTCTCCGATTGCAGGGCGAGCGGCCGAAGTTGAGCTCAGTGGAGTTGCTCGTGCCCCGGTTTAGAGTTTAGACAGTTTCGCAGTTTAGGGTTTGGGATTTAGGGTCTGGGGGAATGGATTATAGAGTTTATAGAACGGTTTCTGGGTCTCTGGGTTTACGTGCGACTCACAGGGTTCATTAAATTAATGATTGAGTTGATGATGTAAGAGTCGTGCATATGTCGGGGAGGCATCAAGGTGTTCCCGGACTTCCGCATTCATACGGGGAGTTCTAAGCCTGCTGGCTTCAGCCCTATCCGCCTAGTGAAATTAAGCGGAATCCAAGTGGCTCGGAGTTCGTATGCCATTGGGTGCAAAGGGCGACTAAGCAACCCACAATCGCTGTCCTGTTGATATCTTTTCAGCATATGTGGTCCTGTGCAAATGCTGCTTGAATGCACACTGCACAATTGAATCCAGTATTCAATGCCATACAGCATCATGCTCTGACAGTGACTGCAGGTCTATTTTTGCATTCCGGCCATGTTTGCATCCAGCCAGTACATTCAACGCGGATGATTTTTTGTTGTGAACAGTCCTGGAATTTTGATTCGATGATGCACCGCCAATCTCACCGCCTGAGGACGTCACCCCCGGCCACCCCTTGCAGATTCGGTCGCAAAGGAATGTGAAGATGCCAGCGGCGTCCTAGAACTCAGCAACAGCTGACGTCAGGCAAGAGCCATTTGATTCGTGTTCGCTCCCGCTTTTGATCCTAAGCAGGAACAGATGGTACAGTGCATGCAGAACTCCCAGGAGCCATTGCACAAAGGCATGGTTGCCTGAGACGTAGAGCCGACGAAGACTAAGCCGGTTCAGATTTTTCCTGGCAGTGGCAAGCATTCTGTTTGCCAGAGCCAGCCATTTTCTGCGGCGGCCGCCTCTATAGAAAAAATGACCATGGAAACTTTATCTTAAAACATATTGTATACTATATGAATTTACCATAGGGCGACCCACTTCTGGTCGGAAGGGCTTAGGACATGACAGCCTGCCGGAGAGCTAGACATCCTGTGCGCAGATGAATGTTCCTTTCGATGTCTCGGAACACTCCGCCCTCGGATTTTTTCCTCAACATTGCAGCCGTCTCGATGTGTAGAGTTACCGAAAGCATTATGGTTCTAAGCTCCAAAAAACCCCCGCAGACTCAAATCAAAGCCTTCAGAAACCCAAAGCCCAGACCGCAAATGCAACAAATTTGGCTCAAGAGTTTTGGGCTTTGGGCAGCCCTCCAAGAAGCGGTGTGGCTTCCGGCAGATCGGAGCTCAGAGCCCGTCAGCTTCTTGCAAACATGTGGGTGAGAAATGCGATTAAAACACCACAGTATGAAACATAAGTCATAAGGAGGGGGGAAGAAACAAGAAAGCTAGATTTCCTCTTTCGGCCTGGCTCTTTGCTTTCGGCGCTTCGCGGTCGAGCATATGTGGGCGGGATCGGCATCATGGTAAGGGTGGCAGGGGCGTGGCGGTGTTGCTGGGGCAGCTGCGGGGGGTCTCCGCTGCTTGGATTTGTTATGCGAAGCTATCAGACGGCCCGCCTAACGAAAGGAGCGGGGCCAGCGCTGCAAGCTTCGGGATGGTCATCATCATCATCATCATCATCACCATCACCATGAGCATCACCATCATCATCAGCAGCATCACCGTCATCATCATCATCATCATCGCCACTGTCTTTACCGTCATCATCATCATCATCATCACCATCATCATCATCAACATCATCATCATCATCATCGCCTTCATCACAATCTTCATTACCACTATCACAATCACCATTACCATCATCATCGTCATCATGATCATCCTCATCATTTACACGTTCTCCTTCATGACCCTCGCGGTCATCTTCGCACATGCCGCAACCGTCATCATGATGTCTAGCGCTAGCATGATCATCAGCAGCATCGTCACCAATCAACATAATCTTGTTTTTCTTTCCATGTCGCATCATCGCGAGCAGTAGAGCCAGTTGCAGAATTTCCGATGATGGAAAGAATCCGAGGCCCACACACAGAAAAGCGAGAAGCATGTCGAGTGAAGTATCGACGGCCAGAGGGCTGGCAGTGTGACATAATCTTGCAAGCGCACAGCAATACAGACGAATGCTGTGGATGCTTATGTCGCTTTGGAACTCGGGAGTGCCCTCCACAAGGGCGGCCAGCATGGAGGGCGTTCAGCAGCACCAGATGAAGCCCGAGGGCAAAGGCGGTGCAGGGCGCAAGATTGCGTAGCCGGCGTGCCCGCGGTGTGGGTCTTTCTCTGTGGTTTTTGTAGTAAAGGCGACTTAGTGTGGATACCTGAAGTGAAGCCTGATCTGCAGCCACGTCAGGGTCAAGCCCCGGACGTTGACCTCTTATCATTGCTAGAATTATTCTCACTGGAACTGCCATTCTATTGAACAAGGCCCTCAACGAAAAAAACCCCAAGCTTTCACGAAGACTCAAGCCCTGGGAGGCTGGGGCGGTGGCAGCTCCTGGGGGGGCAACTGGGGCAAGGGCTGGGGCCACTTGCCTGAAGCTCGTTTTTAGACTTTGGGGGCTGTAGGGTTTAGGTTGCTGTGTCGTATTGAGGGGGTTTCCGCTTGTGAACCATTGGAAGTTAGTGCACGTGTGATCGGATGGGGGAGCGAGTGAAGCTTGTGCTACTTGGAAGTTCGGATGCGGGCGAGTAGGGATATCGGGGTGTGTGGGAGGGATGCAGGGTCAGCAATCCAGAGAGCAGGCTTGATGTCATGTAGCAAGCCGTAGGCTTCTTTCCTTGACAGTCATCCGGTTCCAGTCCTACATTGCTGATGCTGCTGAATTGGTGCAGCTGTAGTCGCTGCTACGAATATTCCGTTTTAATTTGGAACCTAAACTTCAAACCCTGTAGCCGTGCAGCCTCAAGATTGAGTCCGGCCCTGCAGGAGGCAAGTGGGGCGGCTCCAAAGGTGCTCGCATTCATGGCTGAGCGTTCAAACTATAGTTTTTGAGGGCTTGAAAGCTGTACTGGTTCCAAGTCCAGCGGTTTTCGAGCTTTCAGAGCTTTGTTTGTCAGTGTCAGCACAGGTGACTTGACGTTGCAGACTTGCTTCTTCAGTTTGTACAGCGTCTGTGGGTTTGCTTGCAGCTCTAGATGGAACTCTTGAGCACGGGTAGTAATCGTAAGGTATCGTGTAGTCATCATTTTGTGTTCTATGCGCGATGCCTTGCATATCAAGTGCATAGGAAAGCCTTCTTTGACAAGCTCAGCGAAATTCAACGAAGCTCTAAAGGCGAAAGCCCCTAAGCCCGATGTTTTGATGCTCGCTAGGTGGATTCTTTGGAGGGCTCAAAGGTGGCATGAAAGGCAGCTGGGGCAAAGATAAGGCCGGCCGTCAGGGCTCTGCAAACCGCAAGCCGAGGCAGCACATGCATTAGTATCTGTGTGTCCATAGTCCTTGTTTGAACATATAAATATGTATATATATATATATATGCATACATACATGCATACATACACGTTTATATACATACATATGCATAGGGGCAAAAGCAAATGCAGATGACATACGCGCAGATGCGCGCTTATCGGCTGACTTCGTGCTGCATTGCATGATGCTTTGCCACCTCTGGGTATGTCATATGGCATTTTTGAGACAGCTGAACGCTGCACCTGGAAAGCACATGCACAAGAGCAGCAGCAACGTCGTAGCTCAATCCGAAGCAAGAGCGACCATAGATGCACCTTGACAGCCTGGCGCGACCAGGAACACAGAAGACGGCCCCAAATCCAAACCCCCTTCACTCAAAACCCCAAAGCCTGAACTCTGGACCAGGGAAAGAGCAAGATGAAGTGGCCGAGCGGCCCCAACCTCTCACGGGCACGGATATCGACCGAGCCCGTGACGGGTGAGGTTGTGGAGTGGAAAGGCGACCCGGCGGAAATTCCTGAGGATGGTTTATGGTTTCGGCCGTCGGCCTTCAGACTGAACTTCACTGAGCCTAGGTGTGCGTGCCGAGGTGCTTAGCGCCACAAAGTCACTTAGAGCTTCGGTGCACCCTTCAGGCAAGTATGGCTGGATACAACCCACGGTGCCCGTGGAGCATCCTATGTCCGACAAGCATCAGGCCTGGAGTAAGAGGACCTCAACCCTAAACCCCAAACTCCCAAACCCCCAAATTTTGTGGTGTTGGTGGTGAGTCCTTTCAATCTCAAGGCCTCAAACTGGCATTCCCAAACCTTTCAGGCGACGGAAAAGAGGTGTCAAGACAAAACCCACATAAAGGCTGAACCCAGAAGTTCTAAGCTCTCAAAAATTCCCTGACAGGGAAGAATCTATGCTGCTTGGCTGAATGGAGTAGCGCTTGTGCCGTAAACGTACACCACATCTCCTTGTAAGCACAACGATACGCATCAATCAACACACACCCAAATGCATAACAGTTTCAAAGACACATTCAGACAAATTGACAACTTGATATTGACATGAAAAAAATGTGTGTGTCTTCAGTTTTATAGTGCAACTGAGGAATGGAAGCTTGAGTATTTGCCAACAATATTCCTTAAAGCTACTTACTCAAATCTTACTATACTATACATTCTGGCTTTGGGGCTCGGTGCTCTACTTGTACTAGACCATACATTCTTCCTTAAGGGCTCGTCATTCTAAATATATTATACTGTTGATGATATAAGTCCTGCATTGCCTTAGGGATCTTAAGCTATGGGAAATATGGCATATTCCTTATTGAGGGTAACGCAGGATTTATACAATCGACCGTATTACATTACATTCTAGAATGGTATTTACATTATATTACATGATCGTATGCATTATACAATTGAAGTAGCTTCGAGGTGCAAGGCGAGCCAGCCAAAGGCCCGAAAGCCGAGAGCTGAGGTCAGTATGAGCGATCTTCAGGGTGGCCTGGAGGTGCCCTCCCCAAGCTGTAGGGTTTGCGATTTAGTATTTGGGATTAGGGTTGAGGGTCATCGTCGGAATTCGAAAAGGACTCCACTCTGTGCTCACAGTCAGGGGCTGGGTTGGAGGATTTGGCACTCGCCCGAGCAAGCGAGTGTCAGGTCCTCCCTATGCTTTTGTCCTCTTTTCTCCACTCTTCCTGTTCCTGCTGTTGCTAAACTGCTGGGCTTGATATCCGTTAGTATGGATGACATAGTCAAGCCACCTGTACCCTGATTGCAGCCTGTTTTCCCGAGCATCCGAATCAGCGTCTGGGATCCTCTATCAAGCTGACAGACAACACAACGAGCACATGGACAGCAAAGATCTTCATAAGTTGTCGATGGTGCCCCGAAGCTCGCCCTTTAGCAACCGGACGCACGCCCGAAATCCAGCAGTTCTAAAAACCCCAGACCTTTTCAGGTGATACAAACCCTACGCCCCAAGGCCTAAACCCTAAGTCCGAATCCATAAACCATGTCCCGAACCTGTCATCCGAAATCTGAGCCTCAGGCCCTGACGGTAGGCAGCCTCTGCCAGTTCCATCTTTTCCAGGACCCTGGGGCACTCGGGTTTTGAGCTGGGCAAAGTTTCCGAAGAGGGCCTCACAAGTCTGGGTTTAATTTTGAGCATTTGCATTATGAAAATATGCATATGTACACACACATACAGTTTGTAGAGATATACGTGTATACATAGATAAATTTGTGTCTATCTGTCTATCTATCTATCCATCCATCTTTCTATCTATCTTTCTCTCTACCTATCTTTCTCTCTACCTCTCTATCTATCTATC